CTGCAGAAAAAAAGGAACTCTTCCACATTGTCGGTGGGAATGTGAACTAGTCTAACTACTATGGAAATCAGGATGGAAATTTCTCAAAAATAAAAAAACTAAAACAGAAATTCTATTTGATCCAGCTAGTCTCCTTCTAGATATCTTCCCGAAAGAGTAGAAGATACCAGATTACACTGATACATACATACCTATGTTTATGGTAGCATAATAGCTAAATAATAACAATGGCTAAATCTTGGTAAAGCAAGACTTAAAGAAAAACAAGTCCTTCCCAGTCTTGGACAGCCCCCCTCCTCCATCACCCCATCCTACCCTGTAGCTGTTCTGGTACAATAAAATTAACAACTATGCTCTGTAAACAAAGTTTATGGCACTCTGTTCTCATATGATTCATAATATACTGTCTTCTTTCAAGGCAAAGTTACAAAACAGTGTGCCCTTGTCCTGTTCCTGTAAACTCACTTGCTGCATCACTAGAAAAACCACCTACTTCAACAAAATGCATAAAAGGTAAACTTCTCTTTGTTCAATGTTCTTGTTTTGGACAAGGAGTCTGTTGAGACAATATATACCTTAAACCTGAAATAAAGTCCAACTGTTTCAGTTCGTGGGTCTCTCCAGTCTCTTAGATTCCTGCAACATTTTTGGTGACCATGAAGGGATTTGAGATGACAGATTTGCTGTCTCCTTTTGCCTGTGGGCCATGGGCTTACTGTCTGAGAGGCAATGGGCTCTCTCCCAGCCTGGGAATTTCCCCTCTCCCACCAGCTCAAATGGAACCTGAGAGGAAAGACAGCAAGATCCAGAAACAGAGCACTACAGGACTACAGTAACTTAGGGGCCTCAGGGAGAACCTGTCCTGTACAAACAGAAGGGAAAGCTGATCACTTCCAGGGGGTACCGATTAATCAGACCTGGATTAAATTAGCCTGCACAGGGACCCGAACTAAGAGTGACCTGCAATGAGCACCAGCTAGTAGGGGTGCGAGGGATGTGGTAGTGGCCCACTGTGGGAGAGGCTCATGGTTGGTCCGATGTGGACTACGTCAGATCAAACCTACAACCTCAAGTGGAACTCAGGAGTGACCCACAAGCAAGAATAGTTCACAGGTTACTCTGAAACAGCTCAAGGGACAGGCCCACAAACACAGTGACACGCAAAGGGTGTGTGCCCAGTAATCAGACTTAGGGGGAGTCTGATAAAACCCACATCCAGGTTAAAAAAAAACCAAAAAACTGGGAATGGAAAAGTACATAAGTGTATGTAAATAAATGGAATGAAAACAGCTAGGAAAGCCCCAGAGAATGGAAAGCAAAACAGCGAGACAGGGCAAGCCAGGATGACAGGCGGAACACCAAAGGGGAGTGGGGGCCAGGCAACGGTGGGTGAGTGATCCAACGGGCACACTGAGAGTGCTCAACATCCAAGCCTGGGGACCATGTGCTGTGTTAGAGCCCCAGGCCGCTGGATGCAAACTGCAACCTCCTCAGGAGGGGCCACATGGGCCACACCCAAAGGCTTCAGGAGTCCCAAAGCCAAATGGCTCCAAGGTCTTTGGTTTTCAATTTGAGTTGATCTTTTTGTTTAATTGGTGTGCACAAAACATTTCTTGTACATTGCAAATTCTTAAATTATAATTTTAGGGTTAACTTGTCCTTTCTGCTCTCTGTAGATAACGCTAATTCAAGGTTACTTACAGTTCTGTTGGTAGGCACTCAAATTTAAAAGGTAACAATCTTTAAAAAAAGGGAGGGGACACTTTAAAATCCAAGTGGCTACACCCAGGTTTGTTGTACTTTTTTTTTTTTTTTTTGGTACTGGGAATCGAAATCCTGGGGACCTTGCACTCGCAAGGCAGGGCGTGGCACCACTGAGTTAGATCCCCGGCCCCCCAGGTTTGTTATAAAAGCTTTATAGTAAATAAGACAGAAAAAAATATTAAAAAGGCTATAAATACAAGAGATATACTTTAAATATGAGATGATATTTTATGTTAAAAGTTTGTCCTATTAAAAGATAAAAAGAGAAAATGGCAAGACTAAAAATCTTACCAATGTGAAGAGAAAATATGCAAATGTGATTTATCAAAGAAAACATGTATGACTTCTTATTGATTTGGTAAAAGCCCATGCTGCTTCTTCCAAAAGCTCTTTGTTGCTCAAAAGATTCAAGAAGGTGTGGTTCCTTGTCAACGTGATAGAGCTCAGAACAGCTATTTCAAAAAACCATCAAAACCCACTCCATTAAAATATATGTTGAAAAAGACTAAATGGGAGACTGTAGAGTAAAGCTAACACCCCAGAGGCTGAAAACTCTTTATGAAATTGATTGGTCGTCCTTTGATGTGGGTGGCCAACTGAAGGAACCGTTGATAAGAAAAACTGGGTGTGTAGCGGGAGTTATAACCCTAGGGTGATAACGGCAGGCAGAGAACAACGAAGGCACCCACTCCCTTTAATCCTGAGGCCGCTGACAATCAGCACATGGTAAATCTTGGCCTTGTGAGACAGCTACAGGGAGACATCAAGCACAAACTACAAAAGTTAGAGAGTTTTGCTAATGCAAATGCTACTCAGCTCATAGAAGTGGCCATTAAGGTATATGTTAATCGTGATGAGGAGACAAATCAGAAGGTTAACCAGAGGCTTAAGAAAAAGACAAATCTACTAGCAGCAACACTCTCAAGGAAAAAGGCAGAGGACATAAGCGATGAGAACGTAAAACAAGAACAACAACAAAACAAGGCAAAGATCAGGCCAGACAAAAACCTGAGAATCGTCAAAAACTAGTTTAAAATCAGTGTGCATGATGTAAAAAGTTTGGACATTAAAAAGATAAATGTCAAAAAAAGATAAAAAAAAGATAAGAAAGAATACAAGACAGGGACCCTCCACAAAAGGGCACTAGCTCAGGGAGTAAACTGCTAATCTATTTGGGCACGCAGGAGACAAAGGTTATGAAGACTAGGCCAGACCAGGCTCCATCTCTTTGGGCCCCTAAGAGCCTAGGGTCATGATGACTTTGGGGAACCCAGGGGTGGACTTTACGGTAGATAGTAGAGCTGAAACATTCCGTGGTGACACAGCCCATGGGACCATTATCCAAAAACCATGTGACTGTTATTGGAGCCACTAGTTCCAGAAAAGAGGTCATTTTTCCGACCCAAGAGGTGTGTTATAGGGGAAAGGAAGATTCAACATGAGTTCCTATATTTTGCAAACTGCCCAGTTCCCTTGCTGGGCAGAGATTACAAGAGATACAAGCCGGAATTGCCTTTGTGCCACAAGGGAAAATGACTGTAAATCTGACCCACCTAGAAGCTACGGTGCTAACCTTCACTGTCCCACAGGCTGAGGAATAGAGACTGTACTGTGATAAGCCACCCCAGCTGGGAACAAATAAACTGTATGGGTTGACACAGACAGTTCCCAGAGTATGGGGTGAAAACAACCCGCTGGGACTAGCCGTACATCAAGCTCTGGTGGTAGTGGAACTAAGATCAGAGGCAACTCCTATACAAGCTCGCCAATATCTTCTTCCCCCAAAAGCTATACAAGGCATCCAGGGATATTTAAAGAGGTTTATAAAAAACAGAATCCTGGTCAAATGCCACTCTTCTTAAAACACCCCATTTTTGCCAATACATAAACCAGAGACTAATATATATAGGGTACAAGATTTATGTGCTGTAAATCAGGCTACTGAAATCATACACCTAACAGTGCCAAACCCATATACACTAATGGGACTCATCCCAGCAAGTTCTGCCTGGTTCACTTGTCAGGACCTGAAGGACGCCTTTCCTCAGAGTCAGAAAAAGAGGTGACAGTGGAAGTGCAAGGCTAGAGTGATACAAGGAGATGGCCATGTCACTAGGAATGGAAGCGCCTCCCAGCAGCTCAAAAAGGGAAGGAGAAAGATTCTCGCCTGGAGTCACCAGAAGGAATGTAATCCTGCCAGCACTGTGATTTTGCCCAAACGATCTCTAATTCCAGAATGAATCACAAGATAAATTTGTTTTAACAACTAGCCTCAGTTTCTCCAGCTGTGAAATTGTAAAGACAATAGTAACTACTTGAAATGGAGTTTTAAGAATTAAATGACTTTATATACAGGTAATTATAAAAATGTCTTCCACACAGTGCTATGTGTGTCTTTGTTATTGTCTCATATTCAAATTGCAGTTTTTAATTTTTTGTGACTTTCATTAAATGTTCAGGGTATTACCTCTACAGAGTAGTTAAGTTAAATTTTATAAAATATAAGATTTTGAGTTTTTTAAAAACAACCTACAAGTATTAACAATTAGACTCCAGGGTTGAAAATGAAGCTGCAAGGCAGAGCAAGTGGTTTGCACATGAGGTCTGGGGTTTGATCCCCAGCAACAAAAAAACGCAAAATCACCAAATAGCCCAAGGAAAGAATTCCTCTAATTAGGCGAATTGTTAAGCAAAGGTGGAAAAAAAAAAAAAGAATCCATAATAGAAAAAATAACATCAGTCTTCTCCTTTCTATGCCCTTGCTAAACTCTCTGACTGCGCCCCTGAAGGAGTCACTATTTACCCCATACACCCCGAGACCCCTAGGACCCAGCAGCTTTTGGCCAGGGGTGGGAGGGGTTTCAGCAGCTGGTAGGATATCCTGCAGCCACAAAACCCTCTGGCAGCTGGGAAGTGCCAGTGTCTTTTTCTCCTCCCTTGGATCACATCAGTCACAGCTGCTGCCCAACCCCTGTAACTCACTTAGCCAGATTTTCTAAGAAAATATTATACCAGAAGAAATAACTCTATATGTGTGATTTAGGGGGAATAAAAAGGATAATGGGGAGCTGGATATGATCAAAATATATTATATACACATATAGAAACCCAGTATTTTATAAAATTAATAAGCACTAATAAAAAATAACAAGAGAGAAGTAGGAAATACTTTGTTTCTAGAGAAGGAGCTGCGCAATTTACAAAGCATTTTGAACAGTAAAAAATTTAAATCTCACCATGGTAAATGTACTGACGGTTGGTTGCTTTTTCTTCTTCTCCTTTTTACTGAAAAAAACAAGGCAATTACAAAACACTTTAAAAATTATACAAAGTTTACATTACCAAATTAATACCTAATGCATATATTTAATGACAACTAGGACAAAAAATATGTTTATATTATTCAGTAAAAAATAGGTTCGTAGTATGATTTAATTTATAAAGAGTACAAATGTTTACATAGGTCTTAGAATTCTATATACCTAGTTATCACCTGATATTAACATTTCTATTAAAAAAGCTTCTAACTTGTGCCCTTGGGTAAATATTTTAATTTTCCATGAAGAATACACACACACATAAACTGACATATCATTCATAACTAAGAAAGTATATACTAAGGTAAGAGTCTCCTCTTTTTATTCTCTCTAGAAAATCATTCATGCCCTCCATAAATCTCTTTAATGAACCATGTGTGTAACTCCAAGAGTATATATTCTATCTATCTACTACCAGATATTAATGAGAGCAGTGCTGGTCAGTGCTGGCCATAACTAGCCTGAGAAAAAAATAATTAACTTTCCATATGAGCATGTCTAATTCTGAACAGATGCCTGGAGCCTTAATTAGACCATTACGAAAACAAGTTAATCTAGAAAACCTATGGCCTAAAAATATGTTCTATAAATTGTGAGAAAGGTGTCCTTAGGCATTAAAAGGCCAACTATGACTGTGAGGCTAGTTTCAAAAGAATCTGACTCAGGGAGCCATGCTCTTTAAAGTACGCAAACACCACCTTGAATGGGAAAGCAAAGCAACCATAACAAAGCAACCTCATTTTTGTAAATATACAAGAAAGACTGTTCGAAAAGAGCTGTATTGTTTTTGAAGAGATTTTCAAGTTCCAACACTAAATTCATCTTTCTCTGTTCTTTACACAACATGAGGTAAAGAGATTTCTAAAGAACAAATCCAGAGTTTATGAATATTTAGCTTTGGAGTGACAGCAAGGAAACACAAACACCATCAGGTTTGGCCCCATCTTACCCTAGTAAGGTGTAGTGTCAGTACCCTGTCTCCAGTCATACTGTCTTTAAACGGAGGCTGTTTCTTTCATGTTCTAAAACTGACGCTGCTTTGGAGAATTTACAGTATATTAAGGGTAGTGGCTAAGGAAAACATACCCACACAAGATTCTCAAACAATTCTGAAGAAGGCGCACTTTTTGTCATGCTTTTACAGATGACAAAAGCCACAGAAGAGTAAGAAGAGTTAGCCGACTTGTGCAAGGTTCCACCAGTGGAATAAAGCCAAGATTTTAACTGCAAAGTCTGTCCCCTAACCACCAGACTGTAAGCTGTGACCGCGAACTTCTGAGATACTGAACTGAACTACATTGAAATACACTTTCATAGGAACTCTCACCCCTACCAGATTCCTCACTTAACCCCAGCAGCAGGGAACACAGACCTTACAAAGACAAGTCACTCACAAAATATCATGCCAAGGAGGATGTTTACACATACAGGTACTCCAGATAGTGCTATTATCCCAGCATTGTCTATTAGCAAAGTCAGATGTGTCTTTACAAACCCACATTAAAATAGTTTTAATAACAGACTAAAATCAATGGTGATAAGCACAGATTAATAAAATTACTTTAAAAATCTCTACTTTGAAGCAAAGTCTATAGACCATGGCAGTACCAATAATAAAATGAAGACACAGAGAGGATCAACCAATTTTCTTTACTATTTCCCTCTACACAACTTCAATTTTCTTACTAAAATATATCTAAGTATTTGTGTCTTCAGGATACAAACTACCATATTTTAAAAAACAGATTCTGTGGAGTCTTTTTGATTACGTGCTATGACTTTAAGTTTTGCATTATGAAAAATTTCAAATGGAAAGAAAAATTCAAAGAATATAAGAGCTCTCCAAACGATTCATCTTGATTTATCTATATCTAGATTTTGAATATATTTTTTATTTACACAACAGAGTATATATTACTATTTGTAAATATTTTGCTGAAATATTTAAAGGTAAGTTATAAATACTATGATAACCATAAATTTTCCTACCATTATCACATCTAAGAACTTTAACAGCAATTGTGACATCATCTAATATTCAGTCTACATTCAATTTTCCCAAGAATTGTTAATATACATGGTTCTCTCTTTGTAAGCACTGATATAAAGAGAGTTTACACATTACAATTGATGATTATGTCTCTGTAGTCCCTCTTAATCTAGCAGCCCTCATCTTTTTTTTTACATTTTTTTTAAAAGGACACGAATAGTTATTTTATGGAATGTCTCACATCTTGTATACATCAGCTTTAAACTGAGCGTAAGTGGAGAAGTACAGTAACTGTGTAGAATACATAGCAGATTGGAGGTTTTAGCATTAAAGAGAAAATGGCAACTCGTATTTCTATTGGAAAGCACCAGTCTAGAAGCTTAGTTGGATTTGTAGTAAATTTATCTGTAAACATAGTATCTTTGTGGTGTTGTGTACTCAAATTCCATCGCATGCCGAGTAATTTAAAAGAATCTATCCACCATAAGCGAGGTTAAGTCTGGCCACTTGGTTAAGATGGCAACTGCAAAATCTCACTGGAAAAATACATTTCCCTTCTTCCCATTAGTAAGAAATGTGGACATAATTATTAGATACAACTTTTCTCTGAATGGTTTAAGATCCAGTGACAATCTTTGCCTGAATTAATTATGACAATGCAGGTTCCAATATGATAAATACAGCTACATTTTTCTGTAAAGTACGTCTCTTTTTTTTCCCCGACCTCTCATACCCTCTTTGAGTTTTCTTCTTCTCAGAATATCACTGAGGATTCATCTGTTGTATTGTATTCAATACCTCA